CACACACACACACACACACACACACACACACACAGTTACAGAGAGCAGAAAGGAAGACTTGTAACCAGAGTAAAATGAGGCATCATTTGAATTTGATTCCCAAATGTATCCAGTCACAACACTGCTTCTGGGCTATTGTGGGTTCTGGATTAATGCTAATAGGAACATGCAAGTTATTTTGCTCTTGTTCAAACCAACTTGAACTTGGCTTTGAAGTTTCTTTGAATGCTAAGGAGTTTGCACTTACACTTAGGAAACACTTGAGATAAGGAACAATGAGAAGGCACAAGAAAGCTAGGCAATGAAATACAGAGACTGGAAAATAGAGGTGGCACAGACAGACCAAAAAAACCAAACCCAAAACAAAAAACAGAGGGAGGCAGACCGTGAAGAATAGGTGCAGTTTTAAGTGAGAATGAATAAATATATTGGGTTGCATTCTGGTCACTGCTCTGGTGGCACAAAAGAATCAAAATGAATTGCCAAATTGTGTTGCACATAACCAATGTAAGTGGCTCCAGGACTGTATTAACTTATGCTGGGGCTGCAGTGGCCATTAGTCTGACAGGCATCTTGGTGGCATAAATATTGCTCAAGATGACTTTTGCCCCAATCCTTTTAAGTCTACATTTCCCCCACGCAGTCTCACAGTTCTAACAGTAAGGACATTTTTTCCTGAAATGTAATTTTATTTTGCTACAATTTAAAGCCATTGCTTTCTATTCTGCCCTTTGCCTGTGCATCATCCTCACCACAGGTGGTGGTCCATTGTTCTTTGCTCTGGCCAGAATTTTTTTTCCATCTCTCAGGAAACACACAGAGCGCACACTGCCTAAATATCTACAATAGGACTACTGGTGGCGGTGTTGCAGTGCTTCTGCCTACCACAAAGGAGAGTTCAAGTGCCAGCTGAGGAGACTTGGGGTGAGTGAGCTAACAAGAAGCAAATCTTCTTTGAGATGATCATCAAGGAGCACATCTGCAATGGGCTGGCTTCAAGGATGATACTCAAGGGCAACCAGCACAGTTTCATTAGGGGCAGGTCATGTCAGACCAACCTGATTGCCTTTTATGATCAGGTCACAAAAGCATTAGATGCAGGTGTCACCGTGGATGTAGTCTTTCTGGACTTCACCAAGGCCTTTGACGCCATCTCCCACCCCATTCATCATTAAAAAACTAGGCGACTATGACTTTGATGCCTGCACAGTCAGATGGATTGCAGATTGGCTGAAGTTCGTACTCAGAGGGTGATGGTGGACTGGTCATATTTGACCTGGGGGGAAGTGGGCAGCGGAGTCCCCCAGGGCTCGGTCCTTGGGCCCACGCTGTTCAATTTCTTTATCAGCGATTTGGACGATGGGGTGAAAAGCAACGTGTTTAAATTTGCTGCTGATACCAAAATTTGGGGTGAGGTGAGCACGCTAGTAGGGAGGGAAAGACTGCAGCAAGACCTGGATAGGTTACAGGAGTGGGCTAACAAAAACAGGATGCATTTCAATACTGACAAGTGCAGGGTGCTGCACTTAGGCAGTAGAAACCAGCAGCAAACTTATAAGATGGGAAACTCCCTTCTTGAGAGCACGGAGGCAGAAAGGGATCTTGAAGTCATTATTGATTCCAAGATGAACATGGGCCGACAATGCAAGGTCACGGTTGGCAGGGCTAACTGGACCTTGATGTGCATCCACAGGTGCATCTCAAGTACAGCCAGGGAGGTGATCCTCCCCCTCTATGCGATGCTGGTCAGGCCACAGCTGGAGTACTGTGTCCAGTTCTGTGTGCCCCATTTCAGGAGGGATGTGGAC